AATAACTCCACCGTATAATCCGCGAGTCAAAGGTTGGTGCAGTCACAATGCATAATGCAGGAGGCTTTCGACGCGTTTGACTCCACCCCTATTCTGTGCCTCTTTTTGCTACCGTGGTCCAAACTATAAGATGCTCTAAACTTTATATTTGTTTAAAACTTTTTCTTTAAACCGCTATTCTTAACTATCACTATTCTTAGGTATCTAACCGCTATTCTATTGCCAATATAACCACTAAGGTCCACGCAAGATTTTTTTTTATACACAAGGACTAATCTTTTCACAGATGATGAAAAAATGACGCTAGTGTTTATCAAGACCTTGAAGGAAAATATAATTCCTTATAAAATTTCCGCCAAGCTCCTAAACCTTAAGGTGTTTCCAAGCAGCAAAATGGCTATAGCCCCGCATAGCTTGTTATTGTCGTAAGTGCCTCCAACTTAAACTTGAAGTTCAAAGCTTCATTTTATTTTTAGATTTAAGCGCTATACCAGCGCCGCCTAAAGATGTAATAACAGAAGTTTTGGTGCCATAAAAGTAAAGAAGAGGAGAATTTTGATGAACTGTAAATCTTTGAATGGACCAAAGATTTTTAATGATGGAAAATGGACGTACTTTTACTTTGATTGTGACAAAAAGATAAACAAGATACGCCAAACTTAAATGCGAAAGACTTACTTTTATAGCCGATAAAGTTACGTGTGATTTAGGAAAAAATCAAGAATGACATAAAACTTTTCTAATGCGCCATAATGAAGTATTTATTGCAATTTGAAAATCATGAAGAACGGGCAAACAAAAACCACTTTTGATACTGAGGGTTTTAAGCTGAAAATCAATATTGTTACATCCGCAAAAGGTCAAACAAGGGTTTAACAATAAAATCGAAAGCAATTACAGAAAGTAAATTTTTAAAAAGAATTTTCGTCTTTTTTTATCGAAAATTATAATGAAGCTGTGCCCTTAGAAGGGTAGAGTGTCCAATTAAGTTCAATTAATATAACAGGAGTTCAACAATCTGCTTTTTCAGTTTGATCTGACAATAAAGACCGGTATTTAGCCGTTAAAAATGTTCAACTTTGAGTTTGATTTGTAATTCAATGTAAATTGGTAATTTAATTTTGTGGTGAGACTTCAGGTAAACAATACTCTAGAGAGATGATTATGTGGGCGGTGCGTGGGTTAGTTTAGAAAGGATATATCGTTGTACAATTAATGTCGTATCTACACCATTTTTTTTATGGCATAAGCCAGTAAACGAGCAGACGGATCACCTTATGGTAAGCAATCGGCGTCGCCCATGGATACCTGGAACACCAGAAGCGTTACAAGTGCGTTACCGATCTTTTGGAGATTAGGAGTTTGAGGATCTTTGGGGATTTAGTGATTGGGAAGATTGGGAAGGGAAGAGTAATTGGGCCTCCGGTAACCTCACTCACACGACAAAACACAACCCAGGCGTTGCTTCACGTCGGTTTTCTGTGAGGCCGTGGTATCACTCCGGTCGAGCCCGCCCATTCGTGCAAAGCATGACTCTCCCACACCTAAAAAATATCATAACGTTATGCCGTCAATATTAAGACATGTTTAAATAATGTGATGTCTAACGATTGTGGACATTAGAAAGAAAGTCTTCGAAAAGAATTCTCGAAAAACATCGACCAAGATAAAGAAATGATTGTAGACGGTCTCCTTGGAGTCTATTGTCTCAGGGCAGCGTACTACATCGAAGCCTAATTAACGCAATATTCTGAGCGATATAAATCAAATGGAGTTGGCCCCTGCTCTCACATTATTTTCACTTGGCCCCCTCAGGGCCACGGTAATTTTTTCCTTCTCACCAGAGTGATAAATGGTTTGCGTGAAAAGGCAGAATTCTGTTTTGAACGGTGAATTATTATGATCGCTCGATAGGGATGCAAGCGATTTTCTCATGCTTAACGTGAGGGACCACTTAGTGGCAGATAACATCATACTGCGGATATTGATTGGTAGTTTGCCAGCGTAGTTGGCACTAGAATCGCTATAGATTCACTTCACTTTTTAATGACACTTAAAATATTATTTGCTTGAGAAATGACACGTTTATCGTTTTCCTTTTTACATGTCTGTACATCTTATTCATTGCCTATATGTCAAGTCTAGTACTTGTGACTTTGTAATTCTCTAAGCCATATCTTGATAAATTCAACTTATCTTGCACAATTATCGCCGCCTACCCCTCAAATCTTCTATTGGGCAAAATGGTGCTAAAATTTCCATCCATTTCAATGAATCTCAGAATCTGAGGATCTATTATTTAGGCTTTTCAAAGTTCCAAATTAAAAACCCAACTATTCTGAAATTAGTTATTGATGTCAATATTTTTACGAGTTCAATATTATATGTCCTCTTCAAACAATGAGTATGAGTATAGCTCGTGTGACCCTCAGGGAATATAGGTTTTTGTTATATTTTAGGGTCAAAGCTTTCATCTTTATAGACACTAGTTTTATGTGTTTCATATTTTAGGTACAACGTTTTAGAATTTATAAAAAAATTAGGTTAGAATTATTTTTATAAAACCGATGTGCTAATATATATCGTTAAAGCCTATTTGACGTGTCAGCGAATAATAAAAAATGTAATTGTAAAATAATAAAAACATAATAAGTATTACTATTAAATTAATTAATTAAATGATTTTAATTGATTTTTATTATTATTGTTTTGATTATTTAGTATTATTATTTTAAACTTGACCATGTTCAATTGATTATTTCCGACATTTGATTGTTTTGTCTGACTGTGTATTATTTGACGTGTGCCATATTTTTGACATTTTGTATTGTTTTTAGTCACAGTTGTTTTGTTCTTAGCTTTTAATTTAATTTAATTTTAACTTTTAATTTGTATTGCCAGTTTTATGTATATTTTTGTGATTTTTTGCATGTTGTGGCCTCCTATAATTGAGGAAGCACATAGCTTTTAATTTTTGTAATGCTACTCGTGTGTGCTAAGTGTATTCCTTGTTGGAGACCCTAATTCAATAAATAAATAAATAAATTACTAATATTTTACATTTTGTATAAGAAGCATATTTAGAGCAACTCTTGTCTATTATTCCAGAATTAATATGTGAGGTTCCGTTTATACAATTGCTAAAATACTTTCATCAATTCTAAAACATCGTGTAGGACAGACTTCCCACTCAACCAATAACAAAATACCAATAAATACTTTACATACACAAAACTAAAAAACATAAATCAAAACAAACAGCCGTGTTTTCGTTCTGAAAACATGCTAAATAAACAAGAACACCAGACATAAGTACTAGGGCAGTAAAATTTATAGGCTTGACTTGCGTGGCCAGGTCATAACTTAGGTTAGACCCACAAGGTCTAATAACTAAGATGGAAGCACTGTTCTACACTAAAATACGAGTCCCTCAACGGGTCTTCAGTCTTCAAGACTCGTAAACAGTATCCTTGAAAATGTTACTGGTGAAAAAAGGTAAACACTTTTGAAGTTTTGCTTGGGTGGTGCTATTTATAGAATAAAAATGTGATACATAGCAAGGTGGAGATAAAAACAGGTATTATGGCTCTAGCCTCATTGTAATTGGAAAAGCCTATAACCACCACAGAAATTAACTGCAGTTAATTTTTTTATGGGATGGCTCCTCCTTAGCTAGCATGACTGCTTCGCCAAAAGGAAGAGACGGCATTCCAGTCCCCCTCGCTCCGCATCATGGCCTGCACTAGGCCCGGACGCGAGAGGTCGCCATCGCCGATCACTTCCCTGAGGGCACGGCGGTTCTCAGCCCACGTAGGGTATTCCGCTACAGACGAAAGGGGTTACACATGCGTTAAAGGCCTTTTAGGGATTAGGAATTGGAGGATTATTAAGGGTTCAGGGATTGGGGACATTGGGGAAGGGGGGCTGTAATTGGACCTCCCGTAACCTCAGTCACACGACGATACACAACGCAAAGCGTTGTTTCACCTCGGTTTTTTGTGAGGCCGTGGCATCACTCCGATCGAATCGGCCCATTTGTGCCGAAGCATGGTTAAAAATTGGATCACATTTTGCACAGATTATAAAACTTATAAAATAATATAGGTTTGTGTTACTTTATAAAAAAATATATTTTTTTCTGTATTTCCACACATATTACTATATAGTAGGGCAATAAATTATAAACGAATTTCAGTCTACAATTAAGCCAATATTAAAATTAAATTCATCATACAATGTTAAAACGTTAAAATATTTAAGGAAGTAAAACCTCGTTCATTTTTCAAGGAAAAAATAATTGAGCATCGTTGTAAAAGAGCCAATCCCATTATGTCCCGTCATTGTTTCAATCTGCGGCTAGAATTGGAGACGTTGAAATATCCTATTATGTCTTTATTACGACAAATTATTTGCAGTCAAATATATTGATGGGCGTACCACTGAGAAAGCTGATGCCTCAATAGCTTGTCGGCGATGGCGATGGAAATTTGATTTCGATATCATCTCACAAAGGAATTTTGTGATTTCTCCTGACTTTTTATTTTTATTGTTTGTTTTTTTTTTGCCACAGACTATAACGAGATTGGGTTTTTGATCGAATATGATTCGGTCCAGGTTGGATGACAGAATTAAAGTTGATAGTTGATGGTTGATGGTGTTTTCTTTAAGGTGACATCGCCAACTATAACTTTAGATCTACTATAAATCTAGATCCTAATTTGTATTTATTTTTTATCTTGTTTTTCATAAAACTTACGAAAGTTAAAAAAATTATAGAAAGAAAATTATTATAATAGTAATTAATGGAAGCCATCTATCCATGTATGCAAAATATTTAATCTGGTCAAGTACGCGTTTAATATATTGTATCGTGCAGAATTTCACAAATTGATGTAACGAATATCTGAAACCTCTACCTGCATGATTGTAAGGACTTTTAAACATTTTTGAACAAGAAATAAAGTTTACGTTAGCCCACTAGCGAAATAAAAGATAAAAAATATCATTTTATTATCATTTTATTAAATAAAAATGGTACAATCTATGCATTTTTCCATTAACAACAAAAGTCTTAAAATAATAAATATCAACATTTATCACAATGCAGGCCAAGAAACTAATTTCATTGATGCTATTCTTTTAACAGATTAGTTTGAAAAAAGCAAAAATGAATCGGCAGTTCCTGGCAACATTGAAAATCATTAGATTTAGAATCTAAATGCTCCAGACATTAAAGCAGTAGAAGAAATACTTAAACAAACTTATGATACAAATTGTATCTAACCATGATCCAATACACCTCTATCACCGTTCTGAATTCAAAACCTCTAGCAGTTCTTTTTAAACGACTAGCTGTTAGGACAGAACTTTGGCGAACAAGATAATTTAAAGCCTGATAAGAATTACATCGTATAGGATGACAATTATCAATAAAGGACGTGTTTCCTACATCTACACTTTACTTAGTCTTATTAGTATCAACTTCAGTCTTAGATGTCTTGATATTCTGAATTACTTCAGGGATCTCCTCAAGTAGGACCTTGCTGTCGATAAGGTCAGGGTTTGTTGCCAAGATGGCTTTACCTTCGGGACTGTCGATAGTTGGAGCCTCACCGTGGTACGTATCTTCAGTGTACGCACGGTTCTGCCTCCTCATGGTACCGTGCAACTGGAAAATGAAGAACAACTTCATTAATTATTGGCCGCTATAAATATTAAAGTGGATTTGTAAATATAATCTATCATGTCTCTTTTTATTTGACTGAAATGAAATCTAAAATAAGATCTTAAAAGTATTTGATTCATGACTATCAGTTTAAAAGAACTAAATCGATTGTTAAACTTTTATGGAACAATGCCAAAAGTGTACATTGCTCTTTGATTCACCAAAGACAAACTAATCAGAAGTGTTATAAATTTTATAGTGTTGATATTAAATATTTAACTTATCATAATTTATAGGTGATATGTAGTGATATAAATAGTGAGTAATTTATAGCCAACAAAAATTAAGGATTTGACATGAATTATCTATTTCAAAACCAGTTTTCTATTGTGAAGTACAAAGTGTATTGTGAATATAACTATTGTTTCCAACTTAACTATTGTGTCAACTTAATTTCAGCTTGAATATAAGTAATCATATTTTTTTTGTAAATAATTTGTTTGGTCCTTACCCTATCCCACAAAGACATGTTGAACCCGAAGTTGCAATGGAAGAACTCGTGGTGCTGGTCGTGGAACTCAGCGTCAGGTTGCCACGGTTGCCACCACTGAGCCTTGAAGTTGATACCAGAGTGGTCGATGATGCCGTGATAATACACGTAGATAGCCACCGAATAGAATGACACTGGAAAATAATATAGGAAGAAACATGAATAGACAGACTTTATACTTATTTTATTAACCGTAATAAAGTTAACAATATTTAAAAGAGAAGAAATCAAAAGCAACTTTCATAAAAAAGTAAAATGTAACTGGTGTAAGAGTCTATGTTCTATTTTGTTCACATGTATTTGTAGCTACTATCAACTTACGCCAGTGTACAGGGATGGCAAATAATGGCAGGCAGCTGGTGAGCTGAACGTGCAGGATCTCGACGGGATGGATGGCAGTTACAGAGAAAGCAGTGGGCTGCTTGTACTTGTGGTGAAGCTTGTGGAAATGCTTGTACAGCCACGGAGTATGGTACAGACGATGGAGAATGTACGTCGTGTAGTCCTGAAAATAGAAGTAAATGGTAAGAAAGAAACTGCTAAAATAAAGAAGTAAAAACAGTTATAAATACTCTTTAATACATGTACTTACAGAATACAAGAAGATAACAGGGAACTGCAAGAAGAACCACAACCACCCGTACTCATCGAACTGGAAGTAGACCGAAGAAGGGTTGCCGTTGTAGATGTAACAGGCAAGGAATGCAGAGAAACTACCGACGATGAGGAGTGATATGGTGCCAACCATGATCTCGTGACGTTCAAGCTCAGGGGAGAGCCACTTGTCCGGTTGGATCTTCCATTCCTTGGCACGGTGTCTTCTATTCATGTAGAAGTACCACTGGAAACAAAATCGTCATGATTAAAGTTACATTCTTCTGTTCTATAGACAAATTAACGTGGTCGTTTGAAGGGAATACAGAAGCTTTGTTGTAATACACTGCGTCAATTAATAACAATCATTGTGTAATTAAAAAACTGTTGCCTACCTATTACAATACGTCATGATTGTTATCATTGCTAATGATAATAATTAATCTTGTAAAACGATTAACATAATATTAAATATTCAAGTGTGGGAGTCTATCAAAACAAAGATCGTGAAGCACGCGTGTCTGAACTAGCTTCGTCGTATCAGCGGCAATATGATAATAATTTCAAGTACGTATGTGATGAAAGTCAGGTCTTCAAATTCTTGGACAAGGTTCTGATTAAAAGGAAAGATAACAAACGGATTGTTCCTTATCTCAGTGACGTAAATATTAATAATCCAAAATTAATTATTACCAAGGAAGGATTAGAGATTTTATTAGATTATTGCTTTTGAAAGGGAGAATCTTGAACAGATATTTGGACGGGCAATTAATATTACCATCATGATTAATGGGGGAAATTGAAACGAATAGATTTTGTAACAGATTTCTACAATTAAGGTTTTTGGAGAAATGATTAGCAAATCTCAGGCTAATATTTATAGCCAAATATGAGTGTAGAACATATGAAACCTATGACATTATTGTATATTTTTTGGACTAAAACGAACTCCATGTTAGTTTAAATAAACTAAATACACATTCATGACACGGAAATATACATCCTAGCTCAAAAGTTAAATCTAGGTTTTACGCTTCAGTATCATTCTAGAATGGAGTTCGATTCGAAAGTTTTCTAGACAAAACCAATTTGTGGTATTCCTGAATTTGTTTTCAAGTTTCAAAGTGTTGAGAGTAAGCGTGTGGAAAATGTTAACGTCTGTGATTTTTTCGAAGAAGATTTTACGCGATTTGGTTTTTCTAAGTTCAAATATTTTTATCGTGAGACCATAATATGTTTTAGTTTGATCAGTTTCACACTTACACAATAACGATTTGCTGAGGATAACAGTTTCATATTTGTAATTTAATAATAAAGACTACGAGGAATGATGGTTATATAGATTTGGAATATTATTGGTATACAATAATGGTATATTTGTTTTACGATATTCAATAGATACAATTTGGAGTTTTTGATTTTCTACGATAGCGATTTGAGAATTTAAAAGTTTTCGCATAAAATGACTTATTTAAGACTTTGACTTATTTTTTTTTTCGTTTTTTTCGAACCATACAAGATACTTACGTGCAAGAAACCTCCAATGAAGAAGTAAGTAGTCAACGACACGATGTGGGCTCCAATGAAGAATATGGTGAAGTTCTCCATCTTCAGGTTTCTCGAGGAGAACAGCTCCAGGATGGCTGTAGCATTTGTATTGTTCTGTGTCTGACCAGTTAGCTGCTTCAGCGCTGTCACCAGGATCACCACCCATTCTCCTAGAAATCACATTAGGAATATATTAGTTACAACATACTTATAAGTATCAAATCCTGTGTATCCTAAAATAAAATGTCGATTATCAAAATTAGGGGTAGAGTTAGAATTTAGTGGAGATATGTGAGAATTAATTTAAAAATCAACTTTTGATGCCTTGCAAAGTAAATTTTAGCTTCTGTACTACACAAAGAAAACGTAACTGACCAAGTTAACAAATACATTTTCTAATTTTCTTCTAAATAACACTTTAAAACTCTCAATCTGTCATTAAAATTTTAATGGATATACTTTCAAAGCCTGTTTGCACTCGTACTTTACACAATATCTCCAATTATGTCAATATAATACATAAATCTTTGTATTAAAGTACATTTTCTGTATAAAGCGAGTTATCGGCATTCATTAATTTGCACTTTATTTACGGTGTCGATAACTCGGCGAGCTTTTGGAATAATTAACTAGTAAAATCGAAACAACTCAAACCCTATACATATTCAGGAGCAATTGTAAACTTTGTTTTAATTTGAGCAGATAACGAACCTTTGCTCACAGTCCCCAAACAAAGTATCAAAGCATTCCTTACAACGAGATTATGCTAATTACAATTTACTTTAACATATCAGTAGATTAATACATTGTTGCACGATATCTTGCGATAAAAATCATTAATATGAGGTAATTTACCTTATTTAAAAAAGAAACATTGTTGGAGCAATAATCCTCTTATTCGAAATACTGAGATTATGTAAAATGACTGGTAGATCGAGCGGTCGATAGGCGACTACTAAGTAATAAGTACCTAGGTTCAGTACTTTGGGTACATATTAGATACATAGAACACCTTAGTCAGTAATTTTTCATTTAGTTAGGAATTTTAAAAAGACTTCAGTCCCCATTGCGATTGCTTGTATTAATTTGCACCATGGACAACTTAATTCATGATTCGAACTATAAAATACTATCTACATACATAGTTTACAGTTTCCCACTTCTTCAGGGAACATCAGACTAGACGCGATCATTTCAAAATTATATTAATATGAAAGCTTGATCCACATACATCAATTATAGGATATTTTTTATACGAAGCCTATATAATTTTATGTCATGTGCATCAGAAATTATTTTGTAGTTCCAACCTAATACCATTGTCAGAGATAACTTATCGTATTGATCAATTAGCTGTATTGTCATGATTAGTACATACATTGTTAGTCCTAGATTAAATTAGTTGTCAAGAGGATATTCATGAAAAACGTGATTTTGTTTTTGAAGACCAAATAAGTTAAACATGAATTATTAACGGAACAAGGCTAACTAGATTTGTAAGACAAATGTTCATTCCATTTACTACTACCAGTAGAAATTGGGGTGCAAGAGCCTAATTATCAAATATATTTACATCATGGTAAAATTGACTGCCCCACTGACCGAGTGGTAAGGGGTATCGGGTTCGATTCCCGGGTCGGAAAAAGTATTATTGGTATTTTTTTAATCTCAATGGTAGCACGGTGTCTGGAATTGTGCTTGATATATGCCCATGGACACTTGGAATACCAGAGGCGTTACAAGTGCGTTACCTGCCTTTTGGGGATTAGGAGTTTGAGGATCGTTGGGAATTCAAAGATTGGGGAAGGGGAGGGTAATTGGGCCTCCGGTAACCTCACTCACACGACGAAACATAACGTAAGCATTGTTTCACGTCGGTTTTTTGTGAGGCCGTGGTATCACTCCGGTCGAGCTGGCCCATTCGTGCCGTAGCATGGCTCTCCCACACTTGGAAGTTCCCTTGATAGTGACTCACGTTCATCAATCCTTGCGTTGATTCATAGTTCCTTATCATATTATCCAACTTCTGTTGTTACTCTTGTCTCACGTGTAACTATGGGAACTATCTAATCTAGATTCAGTTCACTGATGATATAATACTTATAATATCTTTACATTTATTATATGTTTTTATCACAAATTTGCGTAGGATTGAATTCGAGGAACTATGTTGATGTCAGTGAGTCACTAGTCACTACGCTTGAAAAGATGATGACTGTTGAGGAAGCGAAAGAGGTATCTAAGAATCGTTGCAATTGGCGTTCCATCTTCTTCATCATCCAGTCTTTGCATACCTCCGTGGGAGACAGGCGTGAAGTTATGTATGTAAGAGTCACTATACAATACTAGGTATATTGCTATAGTGGTTTTTGAAGAAGTATACATATCATGTCTTTTATGGAATTCGTTTTCCTATTCAACCGAAGAATAACGTCCTCATCTTTATTGAGTTACCGTACTAGAGCTACATCAGCTGATGAACACACGTTACTATTTTGTTTTGCTGCCAAAGTTTATTGCTAAGGTCGCCGATAAATATTAATCGAATCGTTATCGATACAATGACAAATTTACTTAAAATATAAAAACAAAGCGACGTACCTCTCAGCGTGGCTCCGAACGTGAATATAGCTAACGTTGCGATGAATGTCGAGATGAATTCTGGCAGTCTTTCAAAGAAGTTCTCCAGATTTTCACCATACTTCTCAATCCATTTAACTCCATCTGTTAAAGGCTCCCAGTACTTCTGTTTCTTTTCTTCTTTTACTTCTTTTTTCTTCTCTCCCTTGCTGCCATTAACCATCCTCTGCTTCACTTCAGCTCCTGTCATCCTGTAATCAATTTCATTTCTTTGTTCAGTTTTTTTAATGTAATCTTTGATTATGGACTATTAATTATAGGTGTTCGTGATTCGCACTAAAGGATTACAATGTGACGTCATTGATAAAGATAGCTGTTTCAAATTATTACATTTGAATATGTAAGTAGGTAGGTACTTATAAGTTATATGATTTGGATATGGGCATCAATTTAGTGTTGGTCTAAAATAAATATCTGGTTGCTATTTGCATCGATTGTAGGACTGGATGCATTATTTATTCAAACCAACATTATAATTTATCAATTTATCAATCAATTTTTGTTATTTAAATCTAGATACATTGAAATTAAACTTGATAATGCAATGAATGCCATAGGTATATTGGAACGAAACAAATCACCTTTTATTAAATTTTAGTTCTATATTTATGCTTGTATGTAAATGAATAATCAAACAGTCTCAGCTGGAGACCACACAAAAGAGAATAGCCTAACAACAGTAGAAGTATTTATTAGAGAGATTCAGAACTTCTTAATATTACTTAGAATTGTTTAACGAAGTCAAGGAACAGAGTCGTTTGATGTGGTAACAGTGCGACTGAATACTTGATGTTGAGCCAAACGAACTATTGTTGCTACATTTAGTAGTACCTAGACAATATCTCTATTGAATTTCAGATTTTAATCATCTATCTAATGGAAGCTCCAAAGTCAATTGCCTGGATTTCTGTGTATTGTGAAATTTAATCAATTAAATAATTACAAAATGGCACACAAAAATTTTGCTAACTAATTTATTTAAATTGCTTTCAGATTTATACAGAATAATTTAAATTTACTTTATATATACATGAAATATTTCAGTAAATTCATTCACATTTAGGTAGTAGGTACAAATATGAGAATCAATTTTAAATGATCATAATTGATTCTGAAAATAAAAGCAATTAATAAAAGGGTATATGAAAGGCTGTACATAACAATGGAAGGTATGCTATAAACAATAAGGAACTCACCTGTTTCCTTTATAAAATTCAGCACAACATGAAACACGTCTTTTATAGACTAACTATCACCAACAAATGAATTCAAACATTCGCACTTTTTGCAAACTATGGACAGATAAATATACGAACGAAACTTTAGGTACTACGTGAATATAATTATATTATTAATACACAGATTACTACGTTATCAGATTATTGTTTTATACTGATTACAATATTAAAGATTTTTCGCTTCTATTACTTTTATCTTGCTACTGCTGGACAACTAAAGGTCGTATTATTAATTACAGAGAATGTACAATTTTTATTTGAAGAAAGTCGTACGAACTCTTTAGGTTTGATCAAAATGTACTCAAATAGATACAAATTCATCGATGAAGCTAATTCTTAGGTAAATTCAAGCAGTATGAACTTAACAATGCGGTTTTCCATGATTAAAAAAAACTAAAAGACCTAGAGATAAAATATTGAGAAGTAAATATAATAATATTATATATTAATTGACAAAAATACAAGTACCTAATTATGACTTATAAACTTAATAGTTCATTGACCCATGCAACAATAAAACAAATTAAATTAGGTAGCATATAGACGAGCTACAATTAGTTGATGGCAGATCACAATGTTGCCGACAAGTCGCCGGCAGTCAACCGTGACGAGAAAATGTGTAACAGTCGTCACGCCATCTACTGTTGACAGAAGGCAGCAACGCAACGACAGTCACCTCAAACAAATTGTTGCTCGTCTATAATAATTTATTTGTTTATTTTTAAAACAAGCTACAGGCTTTACTGCAAACTGGTTACAAAAAAGGTATAAATAGCTATTTATTCTTTTTTTTTGCAAAACTTGGCGTAGTCAACCAAAACACCAACAAATCTTTTTAAAACTAAATCATTGTTGCACATGTTTTGAAGGTTCACACATGATCATTGGGACTTCTGTATCACATTACAATTAGATATCATCAACAGCCTTATTCCTCTGCAAAATTATGGGCTTCCTCTACTTATGACTTAGGCTGCCACGTTGGCCGAGTGGTCGCAAGTGCGACTGCCGCGCAAGAGGTCTCGGGTTCGATTTCCGAGTCGGGCCAAGTTTACTGGATTTTTCTCAGTAGTAGCACGAAGTCTGAAATTGTGCCTGGTATATGGCAATATGCTCACCCCCTGTTACATGGGGCTCATAACATAAATAGTGAAAAGTGGGTGTTACATTGTATAGTGGCATTAAGTGCGTAATGTACACCACTGCCTGTCCTTTCGGGGATAAAAGGCGTGATGTGTATGACTTAGATGTAATGTCCACGATTGCCAGGTAAGTTGATGATGCAGTTGATAAGGTTTAAAGACAGCATAAATAAAGAGTAAGGCAGTAACTGTAACATACTATTAATAGAAAAAAGGTTTTTATTTATTTATTTTTTTAAATAACGTTACCCCACACTAGTATCTCCTCCTGTGTCGGTGTATTTACAAACATACAAGCTCACATAGACATGACACTCAGACCCGAAATAACAATTTGTGGAACACATAAAAAATTGCTCTATGCAGGAATCGAACCTGCTACATGTTGCACGGCAGCCCATTCCCTTGCCACCGCTCCCCCAACCGTGGAGTCAAAATCAAAAAATGTTACTTACATAATAACGACTTAATTTCTATGTATATTTACTGAGAAAAATGATCCGTACGAAACCGGGGCTTTTTGTTAGTTATCTATATTAAAGATTTGTTTGTTGATTGATATTATTATTGCAGATAAATACATGACTCTTTGGATCATTGATCAGCGATTTAACGCTATCAATGAACCAATGAAATGCAAAATCATCGATCAGCTGCAGGTGGTACAAGTAGGATGTCATGTCCGCGTCGTAAGATGATACAACAATTTTTAATGTGCTTTCATACCGACATAATATTTTAACCAACGTGTATTATTCATATTGTATCTATACTGTATACATATAACCTTTGTATTTTTTTTAAGGGCGGAAAATTATAGAATGTTTGCTCCCGCCTAGGTGAGGCGGAAGGGAGTGTCAGACTCTTACTGACTAAAAACCATCCCGTTCCTTATCCTGCGATTCGAGCCGGAGCTCTGGTATCCCGTTAGGTTCTCCGCGACTCCGAATCGGCATCAGCCGCGTTGGGTCCCATCCTTGGTTGTCTCATGGCTCTTTGAGGCGCGTGCGGAACGCGCCGCACCGTACGCTCGGGTATAACTATTGTATTGTGTTCGTAATTTTTTTCTATTCTAAACACAAATAATAGTATTAAATTGCCTTCTCTTTGCCTTTTATCTCAATGTCTTAACAATGCTTTTTAAAAATAATATATTGGATTTTTCCTTAGTTTCGTTTAGGTTTTATTTTTTAACCCTTCCCATGTCTTTAAAAAAGTGTGTAAGGAAATATAATTAAAAATGTCTAAATTAAACTGATTAAACTGTCAAACACCAAGCGGTCACCGGTGACCGCAACCTATTGTTCTATAATTGTGTCTATAATGACGGTACTCGACGAGTTAAACTGAGGTCCAGTGTCCTCATCTCATTAGATAGACCAAAAAGACGAAATGACCCAAATCAAAAAAAAAAATTACGAACATTCTAATTTACTTAATGTTTCGCATAATTTCATGGAACAATACCGTCGATAATGGTGTTATGCATAAAATACTTATCGGTTTGTAAACAAGTGATTTAGTTCCTACTTCTAAAGCGGTCACATGAACATACTCTTACTTGGGAACGATAAATTGATTATAGTAAAACATAGCTCATTTCCAAGATGACGAACTAATATAAGTGAATAAAACAGATCAGATATTTTTATATTATGATAAACGTGATCTCTAAAATGAAAAAATTAAATAGGATTGGTCCATTTTAAAGGGGAACGGCTTTAGAAATTATAGAATAAATTAAGTTGAATATCCTACTAATATTATAAATGCGATACGTTGTATGTCTGTTTGTTTGATACTTCTTCACGTTAAAATGGATGAAGGGATTGAGATGAGAGTTGAAACAGGTATATATTATGGTCTAGAAATACAATTAATAGACTCCTTGTTACCCGTAGGATCGCGAGCAAAGCCACTGGTAGAAGCTATATGTTAATTATATTTGGACTTGTAGTTGAGAAAAAAATCAGTCTGATCTATTTCAAACTTAGGTTCAATTTGGTGAAAACTAACGCATTACATATTACAAAAGTAAAGTATCACAAAGATATAGACATAATGAAAATTAGATAATTAACATAGAAAGGAATTTTTAGACTTCCTAAGCGGAAAATGAGTTATCTAAATCAAATCCCTATGTTATCTGTACCTACTTTATTTTATGCTTACGTCAACGTTTATGTGCGTGATCGCCATTGTAGAATATCTCTAAATTGTACTTATGTAGGTACTCCTAATTTATGATACATCGAACTCCCATTAGTATCTGTATTAACCTTTTAATGTTATCTATGTTTATTTTTCTTAAGTGGTAATATATTAAGAGCGAATTTGTTAGCGGTTAAATATCAACCAAATATCAATATTTTTTATCATACTTAAGTATGCTAAAAGTGTAAAAAAAATCGTAACTTTACAGGAGACGCCAAAACGCCAATTTGTTTATTTTGAAACAAAACGTAGGTAGGTATTTACTTTACAAATATGATTTTTATCTAATTTTGGTGCATGTGTGCGAAAGTGTTAGATAATGTAATTATTATGCGTGCAAACGTTTTGCAATTCATTTTCAATTTGTGTACCTATTGTACTGATAAACGATAACAGTTATGGACCCATCTGTTATATTTTTACAAATTATTTTATTATAATATGTTGTAACTTTCTTGTAAAATAAATTCACCCTGATCCCTTACTTAGCTTATAACGACTGTATTTATTAAAAAAACAATACCTTTCCTATAGTTAGGTCAAAACGAAGAAAATAATGATCATGTTTTGTCTATTGTTTCTCTCATTAATAATAGAGAAGAATGAAAAATCAAAACTTTACTCAACCTCAAGTGGGTACAAAGTTAAAAATAGTAGAAACAAACTCTTAGATATCTGAAAAGTAAGAGTAAATTAGATCAGTATCGAAAAAATATTACCGACTAAGGATGTTACTTATTTATTGCAGTGCTATATTCATGGTTCATACTGCCCCAAAAGCAAGATCCAATGGAAATTTTGTTTGAAGTCTACTGGAAAATTTTGTATCATTTTAAGAAGAGATAGTGCGATTTTTAGTCTAGTCACTATTAACTTGTAACCTTCGTTGTCTACCTACTGTCAGATCTTCAATTATGATAACACCTTTATCAATAAGATGACGATTATAACAATTAATATCTTTACATAAAACTGTCAAATACTGCAGGTGTTTGACAAAAAAACCTAAAATAGTAAATACTTACTGATTACTTATCAAAATTATCTGTCCTATGAACAAAAAATACGTAATGCAACGCAATTAATTTATAAATATAAACAAAAACTGTGAACCTAGGAAACAAATGAATGTCATGGTACAATGGCCGTACATAAATCTCAATGGCCACATTTAAAAAAAAGAAAACCTATTTGAATAACACAGTAAACTGCGCGGCACAATATTAAAGATTTTGCTTTTTTTTCTTCAAGAATTTTATTTAATTTATAGCACGTTTCGTTGCAACCAAAGTTTTAAGAAACTCTTTTTTTTTATCAGGTGGGTCTGACGTTTGATCACTATCTCGCCTGGTGGTAAGCACGTCGACCTATAAGCAACGTATTCACTCGAGCCTTGAAGACCCCAGGTTATACACTTCAGGAAACACAGATTCTTGCAAAGAATTCCACTCCTTAGCAGTACGCATAAGGAAGCCTGATGCGAAGCGCTTCGTGCGTGTGGGACATCTACCATGAATCGGTGACGCTTCGCCGATTTTCTTGTACGATGATGGAAAGGACTAGGAGGAATCAAGTTGTGCAATTCCCCCGCACACTCTCCGAAATGTATCCGATAGAAGATTGAAAGGCTTGCAACCTTACGCCTGTGTTCGAGGCTTTGAAGCAGGGAGGCTCTTGGCACGCCTCTCGATATGCTCTAATGCGTC